ATTATTATCATGATTATTATTATTATTATATTACATTTGAACCTCGCTATTTCGAGTTCGAAATAACGGGGATTTCGAAATAACCGAGCTCGATTAGGCGGGGTCCAGCTGTAGTTGTTTTAGCTATTCTACGGCCGTCTATGCCTGATCAAGAAATAAGATGCCCCCTCCTACACGTCTGCGGTAAGTTAGCAATTATTTTGTTTTCGTTTCACTGCAGAGTGATTAGAGAGCAAGAGCTTGTTTGCAATAGTACAATCCACATATCAGGGACCACGCAGTACATTTTCGGGTGGGGAAGGTGTATAAACTTGCACCCGTATGCTCTCCTGGAAAATGCTTAATGGAGTTCTTCAGAAATTACAAGAAATGCATTTAAAATCAACCCGTTTTTTTGAATATTTGTTGGTGACGTTTGATTGCTTAACTCCAGTTGTCTTTGTGTTAAAAACACTGATCCAATAAATAAAGATCGCTATTTCAGTTTTATTTCATTTTGTCTTGTTTCGTTGGGTTGCGTTGTGCTGAGTTACGTTTCGTGCGATGTAAGATGTAGTCGTATTGCCTTGTTAATTTGGATACTATCCAATTTAAATTTTTTTTTAATTTTTGGGCTAACATTTTAATAAGAACGAGGTGCTTGCTATAGCAGGAAAAATGTCAGTTTTTTAGATGTTTGTATGGATGAGAGACAAGAGTTGCCTTCTAGACATAAAAACAGAAACAGCTTTGGATTGCATGCACCGTTTGAAGACAAGATAATCTAGATCATCCTCTCTGCAGGAGATTTCCAACCATTTCCTTTCCTGCTGACATCTAAAATCGCAGCGAAAGCAAAGATCACCTTTTATCCTAGTGTTTGCTAATAAGAATAAGATATTCTTGATATTCGAGTCCTTGGGAATGTAACGTTTGTAAAGTGCATATGAAAACGGAGGAAAGCAGGAAACCACGTGTGGAGAAAGAATAATGCAAGTCACGCGCGGCAGAAAAAATAACGAAAGTCACGATTCGAGAAAGAATCGCGCAAGTCACGCGCGGCAGAGGAATAACGCAAGTCACTATTGGAGAAAGAAACGCGCAAGTCACGCGTGGTAGAGGAATAACGCAAGTCACTGTCGGAGAAAGAAATGCGCAAGTAACGCGTGGCAGAGGAACAACGCAAGTTACCAGTGGAGAGATAAAAGTGTTATTCACGTGTGGAGAAGGAAAGGAGCAAGTCACGTGCGGCAGAGGAATAACGTAAGTCACCAGTGGAGAGAGAAAAGTTTAAGTCACGTGTGGAGAAGGAAAGGAGTAAGTCACGCGCGGTAGAGGAATAACGTAAGTCATGATTGGAGAAAAAAACGCGCCAATCACGCGTGGCAGAGGAACAAGGCAAGTCACCAGTGAAGAGAGAAAAATGTAAGTCACGTGTGGAGAAGGAAAGGAGCAAGTCACGCGCGGCAGAGGAATAACGCAATCACCAGTGAAGAAAGAAAAGTGTAAGTCACGTATGAGATGGAAAGGAGAAAGTCACGCGTGGTAGAGGAATAACGCAAGTCACCAGTGAAGAAAGAAAAGTGAAAGTCACGTGTTAAGAAGAAGAGGAAAGGAAAAGAACAGTACAGTGGAAGCCACGCGTGGAAGAGGAATGGAGCAAGTCACGTGTGGAGAAGTAAAAGTGTGCGCGTGGAGGAGGAATAGTGGAGTCTCGCGCGGGGGTTTGTGGTAAGTAAAAACTAAGGACCCATTCGCGGTTAACATTTTTCAATTTTATTTCCGAAAATATCTGGTAATTTTCTGTCATCGTCTCTGCTGCACCAGTGCAAATGGTTATTTTTATTCCTGATCTAGCCGTGCAATAGGCGCCGTCGTCCTGCCTCGGAACAGGGCTAAGTTTTGTCATATGTCAAACCTGACAGATTCGTTAATCTAAAGGTCACAGGGTTGATTATTTTGGGATGTTGTGGAATCTGTTCAACTTTAACCAGTCCCTTTATATCAGTGTAAACTGCCAGCTAAAGCAGTTTGAATAATCGAAACGAAAGCAGGCAAATCCAACACATCAACAAGTAGTCTGTGTGTCAGGGGAAAGAGGCAAAGACACTGAAAGACAAGAACAGCGAGAAGAAACATACCTTCAGTCGGAGGATACTGTCGCAGGCCGGAGGGTAAAGACTCTAGAAAATACTTGCCAAAAAGGTTTTAAGGAAGTTATTAATATGCTCTCTGTGGCAAAAAAGGTTTCCATAACTGCGTGACTCCCTTTTTGTGATTCGCAGATTATAAGTTGTTTTTAGTACGTTCACGTTTTCCGAAATGAAAAATTTGGTGACGACAAAATTTGTACTACAAATTATGCAGATGGTCCCTTGATAACCGGGGCAAAAGGAGAATCTATTTAATTTATAAAGCCTTCTTTGCAATCCTCAATTATTTCCGTGAGTGCGAGCGGAAAACAGGCGCTGTGTATGAATTCCTCACAGAAAGGGACTGTAAGACATGATGTCCATAAACCGCGTGGGATCCCGCGGGACATGTAAACATTATACTTTGTAAACATTACATGTAGAACAGCTTGAGGCCGGCCCACATGTCTTTGCTTCCGGTAGGGCACGCGGTTGATTAGTGCTTAATAAGTTCGTTCTTTGTACGAAAAGTCAACAATATGGTACGATATAGTTAATTTATAAACACGCCGAGATTTTCGAGGTTGGACAAGCCTAGAACCAAACAAACAACGTCAAAGAAATTCCGTTTAAGATCAGAAAGTGATAAATTTTACCAGTGTGTGCACTTGGCGCGCACGCAAAAAGATAATGATATTGGATTGTTATGGAAGTAGTGTCAGTCGTTCATTACCATTTTCATCTGTCCTTTGTTAGGAAGAATAAATCAGAAGTAAATTTCTAAAGAAGGAAGCATCTTTTAAATATAAATTTTCAGCATTTCATCCTACCTTTTGCCGTATCAAAACATGCTTTTGATCCACAATACTTCTGTTCTCTCGGGATCTGAGGTGTAGATGTCTTCTTGCCCTTTTCCAAGGCGTACAGCGTGATAAATACGATTGAAATCACCAGTAAAATAAGCGATAAGACAGACAAAATGATCAGGAATGTCTTTGAGCCTGACCTTCGTTTTCTTGATTTGAAAGAAACATCTTTCTCGTGTTCAAATGGTTCCATTCTGAAACGGTTCAAACGCGTGGCTATAAATAACAGTGAAATAAGGACAATGTAATCTGAGAAGATAATGATTGTCGAAGTTTGTTATTTTAATGAGCTTGTTTGTAATTGATAGATTAGTCAGGCCGGAGTGGAAGAGTTACGTCACACAACACAACTGACATTTGACTCACTGTACTTTTCCGCGGCTTCACATACTTCCAAATAAAAAAAATTAAAATTAAAAAACACAGACTAGCCATCAGGAGGCCAATACAATTTTACATGTATTCTGAGCAAAACGGCAAAGAGCACTTCCCGAACACCTGCCTTCTTCCCACTTCTACTTATGATTTTATTGTTCAAAAACCCGATAGAAGCCGTACATCATTCACTATTAAACATTGACTCAAAATCGAAGAACTGGTTATTCAATATTTCACTTAGAAGTTAGGTAAGGAATAACAAATACAAATCACAGGGAAAAAAAAAACTATCATAACACCTTTCCGAGGGTAAATTGATATGAACGTTCTCGCACAGTTTTATCAAGCTATTTCGCTTCGTCATATTTGCATAGGATGTCACAGTAAAACCACGACTGCGGAATAGGCATCTAATGGTCAGAGGTATTTCCGCCAAAATAAAAAGATTAGCGAAGAATTAGCTGAGAAGACGTTGAATCTCTCTTAGCTTTCGGGGTTTATTATTGAATAAGATATTGACTTTCAAAAATTGCTAAAGTTCTGGTTGGCAAAAGTATGAATGAGCTGCTGGCTGAGCCGTACATTCCGTGAAAAAATTTGAGTTTTTAAACCCCAGTAATGGAGACAAACAATCGTCATTCGGAGCTGATGTTTTCGCAGCTTGATCAGAAAATGAAGCACGTCTGCCAATGACACAAAATTCACAAGGAGACAAAAATTCCCCTTACTGATGTATGTACTATCGAGACTAATGAACAGGCTAAGTTGATTTCAATTTACAACTTCCTCCATGAAAAGCAGGAGTACAGACAGTTTCGATGTACATGTGCTCCACTTTGAAAAGATGTTTTTTCAAAGCGAAATGAAATCATGAAAGACAATAAATCAAAATTGCGTTCAAACCTAGTATGAGATATTAATTCGGCTAGTATGACAACAATTTATTAGGAAAATGAAACATTCGTGTCTTCAAATGTACTACTGATACATAACAATATTATTTAAGAAATAGAAAACCTTTCCCGTGTTCATGTTGAGTTTTAGTAGATTTCTAATGCCTTCGGCCTCGCCAACCGATCACCTCATAGAAACCGAGAGCAAATTATCTGAAATGGCTGGAAACACGAATGAGTGGAACTTTTGAGAATAACAAATTATCGATGCGGAAACTCCAGGCAGACGCAGTGTTTTCCACAGCCTTTTCAAGTTTTCTTTTGACTCGATGGAAACACAGGGAAAACCTTGTTTTCTTTTCCTTTAGATAAACACTACAAAAAAGAAAGGTAAATAACTCGTTTAATTTAAATTTAATCAAAATTTAAATTCTCTCCGGCTGTGGTGTCAACAGTTCTTCTCTAGTTCGCGTGCTTTCTCTCCGGGTGTGCAAGTCCTCTAAGATGATTTAATTTTCAGGCATATTCAACATGTAAATTCTCTTTACAATCCCAATAAATTGTCAAGTAGACAGGTTATGAGAATACAGGAAATCATCCAGGGTATTGTCATAAGTAGACTGTTGTGGCACGAATGTGGCCAAATTAGAAAATTGCCCACGTCATTAAAAAAATAAGATTTACTATCTTCCTTCCGACATAAATTTACAGAATTCAACACAAAATCGTTTAATTATTTCAGAAAATAAATAAAACAGTATACAACCTCTAATCAGAATTTACAAGACTTACACATTTAATAACACATCTAAAAAAATTACTGAATTCTGATTGGCTTTCTCGAGCAAAGTTGTAATACAAGTGCAAATTACAACGAAGATTTCACAAGT